CTTTTCGTCCTGCATATGGTTTCGTTCAGTGAGAATGTGTAGATTCGTTACTTTACTGATTGGCAGCAGATATTTCAAGCTTTTGCTCAGTTGTCTGAAATTTGAAACGTTTTTTGTGCTAATCATAACAATCACATGGTCATTTTTACCGTATTGACGTGAATGTTCAAACAGAGTTAAAACTGAATCTAAAACATTTATGCTCGGCTTGACCACACCTTCTACGATAAAATCTCTTTGTGATAGAATGGAATATACTAAAAAAGATGCATGTCTTGCAAACTCATCGCCGAAGATCAGCACTTTAGATTTATCACTACCTCCATGTCGTTGTTCTAAAGATATGGGTTCACTGATATTCGTTGTCATACTGTCACTGGAAATAATCCCACTACTTGGATGAGCATCGGTAGTTAAGATGTCATCTAGAGTCTTAGACAAGCTTGATGTCGATGTATTGTGATTTTCTTCGTTCTGTGTGTTGGCGCCAGTTTGTGGCCTCACATACAATTCCACACTTCCTGATGAGTTGCTTACTTCTGGTTGGACTGTACGAGAGATTTGCGTATTAATTGCTCGACCTTCATATTTAGATATGTCTCCTTTTAATGAATACGATGTGTCTAATTGTAAATTTGTGTCATCAGTCTGTGATACAGTTGATGTGACTTTTTGATGTGTCTGAGTAGAATTATCCATAACTATACTTTTGCGTACAACTTTTTCTATTACGCTTTTCAGGTAATCAATAGTGTCTTGCCTAGCTTCTAGTTCTCTGGCAAGCTTATCATTTTTCTTGTTCAGCTCAATTAAGGTGTTGTTGAGCTCCTCAATTTTCGTTTCCTTCTGTGCCAACCTGTTCCTTATATCCAACACAATGCTTTCCTGGGTTTTAGTGTTTTCGTCAATTACAGGATGTTAACGCCCAATGAGTAATCAAAGGTCCCGTTTTCGTGGCTCCACGTTATTTTCATAATCATCCCCGCAAATCAGTTTGATCCCGGTAGTTCTTGATCTACGACCATGATAAGATATTTAACGGTTATTGAGCCGCATCTATACGTTGGACTAACTTACGCCAACGCAAATATCTAAAGAATAGACAATGGCCGATTGTGATGAGCATTTGATGTCTTCTCTGCACACTCGCTGTGGAAACCAATAATAATGCTTATTGGTCTAGTCCTAGTCTCAATGTATCGGTGTACGTTAGCTTGACGGGTAGACAAGAGCTATACAACTTATCTGCACAGGACATTACACCTTTTTTGTGCAGCTCAGGGATTTTTTGCGTTTCTAATTATTTATAATGGAAGTACGCGTGTGTACATTTCAGAGTTGAGTTAATTGAACAGAACCATAATAATAAAAAAATTGTCGTTCTATCAAAATCGAAATTACACAAAATTGATGCATTATCCGATAAATGGTTTGTCCATAATTTCTAGTCTCCAATGAAATATTTTTATGCGGGAAAAATATTTAACTTCAATTCTAAAATGTACACAGACTTACCTCACTTATCCAGTAAATCGACAAGCAACTGAAGAGAAATTACTCCACTTACTTGAACGCATAGACTTCGAAAATTAGTTCATTCGAAAAAGTCGGTGAACGCCAAACTGACAAGCGATCTCAGGGTTCAAAATTCAACTGGACTATGGACCATGGATCGTCTGTGTCGTAAACGGGTGGATAGCAGGGCTGCCAGGGGTGGCGATTTTTTGCCAAAGTAGAGATTTGACAACTTCAAATGGCCACTAAAATAGATAGCTTGGCGATTGGCTACTTTAGTGGTATTCCTGACGCCACTTAATTTGTAATCTATTTTTGCCGATATAGTAATAATAATAATAAATCGTGTTTATTTAGCATAATGCTACTCTGCCACTTAACCCCCCCCAAAAAAAAAAAAGAAAAACCGAAAATACAATACAAAAAATATAAATACATTTGATAGGTTCCAAGTTTATAAATGCAGTTGTATAAAAATATGTCGTATATAACATATATAAGTGAAGTTTATTCAATATTTCATGAGTTAAAAGAATAAAATTGTACCTAACAGTTATACAACCTCGGTTGGCCGCGTGGGTCAGAGTGTCGTGCTACTGATCAGCCGGCCGGCCGGGCCGCGAGTTCGAATCTCGCCTTCGCCATGGATATTGTGTGTTTGTTTTAGGCAGCAGCGGTGGCCGCAGTTGTAGACTCTTCGGTCTCCTGATCAGTCGCCGTGCGCTGTGCGGGTTCGAGTCCCGTCCCAGGAGAAATTCTTCTCTTGGCTATGGATGTTGTGATTGTCCGTAGGTGGTAGATGGTCTCTGACTGTCGAACGCGGAGGTACCACCCGGCGGTTCTCGTAGGCGGAGCCAGAATGTGTGCATGTTGCATGCACACGTGTTCCCTCGCCAGAGTCCGTGTGGCGTCCCCCCTTTCCCATGTATCCCCCTATAGCCCCACGGTACCCAATGGGTGCTTAGGCCTTAGGCCTTCGTGGTAGTTGGAGTATAAAAAAAAACAAAGGAATGCTATATTGGAAATATTTTTGTGTGAGGTGACAGATGAATTTTATCACTAATTCATATACTTCTATGTATTCAAAATAAATTTATTCATATGCCTTTTAAATTCATCATACGATAGCAATTTTTTGGATCGAGGTACAGCATTGTAAAAAATAATTGTATAGATTAATGGAACATGAAACGAGGACCAGCGATAGTTCTGTGCTCTAAGCACAACGGATCTGCCCCATGTGAATGAACTTATAGTTTCGTTCAGATTAGACACGTGTCTAACAACCCCCCCCCATCCTCCCCCCTCCATTTTCAAGAATTGTTTACTATCATATAACGTTATTGTAATGTCTAACCTCGCTCACCTCCGCTCTTCAGTTAACAGGCAGGCTACTATCGTCCCCCCTCCCTCCCGCAAATTCATTCCAATATCTAACATGGCGTTTTTTGGTTGACTCATAGTTCTTTCAAAGATTGGCGATTTCTGGCGACTTTCTCATCAAAGCTTTGCGACCAACGTGACTGAAGACTTGGTAGATGGTGCGGCGGCAGATTGGTGGTATGCAGGAATGCAGGTGCGTGCGCCCTTTCCCCGCAAGCCCCTCACCATCAAACCATCAGCAAGCTGTAGCCGCGAAAACTACGCATTTTAGCAACAAAATTGCAAAACCTTTTTTGATGAACTAAAAATAGAAAAATTTACTTGTAAAAAAATCCCAGATATGCTCAGCCGTTTCAGCGAAAAAGAGGTTTTTTGGGTTTTTCGCTGTTTTCCGGAAACCAAATTCATACAAGAATATCGCAAACCTTTATTACACCATTAAGCCAGCGGAAATAATATTTTGTGACTATGTTATCACTTTTGTCTCAGTTTCGGCTATTTAAACTGGACTAATGTATTTGGTCAATTGGAATAAATTGATTATTATTATTATAGACAAGACCATTATTTCAGAGTGTTTATCTCGATCACGTGGCGTTTTGGAGGTATACTAAGTGACATATAAATCCGACACCAGTTTAAATGGTTTTATTTTAATAAAATTTGTATAAGTACTTAATGAAGCATAATAAGTAAATGATGAAAATTTCAAAATGATTGCACTGCTTTAAAGCCCTTTGACCTTTAATAATGTGTGGATGCACCCTGATGTGCTACGCATTCTCCAACGCGCCTAGGCATGCTTCTGATCAGGTGGTCAATGTCCTCCTGTGGTATCTCATTCCAGGCAACCACCAACTCCTCTCGAAGTGCTTCTAGAGTCTGAGGAGGACGTTGCAAATTGAGCAATCTCCTACCATCATATCCCACATGTGCTCAATTGGGGATAAGTCGGGAGATCTTGGTGGCCATGGTAACAATGTGACATCATTATGTTGAAAGAAGTCTATTGTGACTCTTGCAACATGTGGTCGGGCATTATCTTGTTGGAAAGTTGGATCTGCCAGGGTGTCAAGATAGGGTAAAGATGGGGTTCTAGAACTCCGTGGATATAACGCTGCGCGTTCATGTTACCTCTGATGAAGATTAAAGTGACTTGGAACCATAAGCTATAGCACCTCAAACCATAACTCCAACAGTGTGATGAACATGTCTTTCAACAAAAAACTGTGGATTCCTCCTTCACCACGTCGCCTTCTAAACCTGGCATGACCATCGTGCATGCCTAAACAAAATCGAGACTCGTCACTAAGACAATACTGTTCCATTCCTGATCCCAGAGTGACCGTTATCTGCACCACTCAAGGCGATTACGTCGGTGTTCTCGAGTTAAAGGGAGGACCCACTGTGGCCGGTATGAAAACAAGCCAAAACTTCTCATTCGTCGGTAAACACTTCGCATGCCAACAGTCTTCCGTGGTCTGCAAACCATTCATTTGCAATGGACCTGGTAGTGGAGAAACGGTCCCTTAGGCCAATAATCTTAGGCGGCGATCCTCACGGTCTGTTGTTCTACGGCGGCGTCCAGTGCCCCTTGCTCTTTGCGTACGGCCGTCTCGAAGCCATGCCTGACAATACCTAACCACAGTGTCTACACTTCTTTGCACTCTAACTGCAATTGCCCGAAAAGAAAGTCCAGCTTCCCGAAGTCCCACTATACGGCCCCTATCAAACTCACTAAGTTGACGAAATCGTACAGGTTTCCGTACTCTAGGCATCGTAACCAATCGTAAAGGATGTCAAGAACCAAAATCCAACAACGTTGATCCTTATTGCGGATGAATATTCATTTTTAGAGCGTTAGTGAATTAAAAAAAAGCAGTATAAAAACCGGAATGTCCAACTGATAAGGCTGAAAATTTTTTCACTTCACCAACTTTTATTAAAATAAAACCATTTAAACTGGGTGTTCGGATTTATATGTCACTTAGTATATGTTTATGGAAACCTTCATATTATTTTTCTATATACCGTCTACCATAGATATTTCTGTCACTGCCTTGTGAATCTTGGATTACTTTCTGATGACTTGTTCCTTGTAGGTGAGAAGGAGTCGGCGTTGGCGTTGGCCGCGAAGAAGTGCGGCGCAGCAGGAGGTGGTCGCGGCGCCGGCGGTCCCCCCGTTGGCTGTCCCCCTACTACAAGAGCAGTGTCTTTTCCTGAACAGCAGCAGCGCCCGAGCAGTAACAGCAGAAGCAGGGGGACCGCCCCCCGGCCTCCGGCCACGCCCACACGCATGGAGCACCACCCACCGCCAGCCAGCGCGGCCCCACCATCATCAACACCACCATCATCACCACCACCACCATAGTCACCACAACGCCACTGCGCACGCGCCGGCTTCCGCAACCGCCACTGCTGCGGCGGAACATACGCAGACACATCCAGCAGGGCAACCACCCTCGTCGGCCAATCGGGAGCCCCGTCCATGTCACAGGCCGAGTGCTTTTCAGAAGGTAAACTTATAGCTAAGGCCAGAATTAATATATGTTAGTAAAACCTCAAGGTTGTAGGGTCATGAAGTTCCCTATACGATATTCATAACTAGAAAATTCTAAAATCTGGCTGATATTTTAGAGCTCAGCTATACGGTTTGACAAACCCCGGACCGGCTGTTCGGTTTGTGATTTGTCAAACCATCTGTTTTTGGTGTCGAAGCGGTCGTCGTAGAACCGACAAACCGGACAAACTGGTTTTGTCAAGATCCGCACGAGTATTACGTATCTTGAGAAGTGATATTATGTCGATTTTTTCGACATTATATTCGTTTTTTGCTACATTAATCAAATCCAAGCGAATAACCAAAATTTCTGTGTTATGTGCCGTGGTTATAATATGGTTCAAAATGACACACGGGTTGATGACGTCAGTTACACGAATCGCTTGAACGCGTTGGTTTTAACCGCGGTTTTGTTGCAAGTTGTTTATTTTAGAAAAGCGCGTATATAATCTCTGATTATTTTTATTATCACTTAATAATCGGTGCTTTTTCGTCTACAACTATACAGGGTGACTTTGAAGTTGAGTCATTAATTTTCAGATAATGATTGTAGAAGGAAGATAAACCAAAATATGTGTGTAAAAATAAAAAACAAATAAAAAAAATTTTTACCTTGTTTTATAAAGTATCCTCCCGACAAGTATTTCAGTGCGGACCTGTATTTGATCGTGAGGTGCCCTGTGAGGTCTTAAGTCACCTGATTCACGAGCCCGTTGTACTACATTAACAAAGGCACGAGGGGTTGGTTGCACTCGATTGGGAAACCGATCCGCATAAACATGTGCCATTTTTTATTTCGTTTGAGCCACGCAACAGACACTATTCACACGCGACTGACACTGACTGTATGTATAACTGAACTGAATGAAATAAAAACATCGTTCCAAATTCTTTCGCTTTTTTGTTTCCGATGCGATGAACCGATACGGCGGATTATATCCGTTGTCGCCAAACACGACCATAATATTATTATTGAGACAGGGCGGTACTCAAACTTCCAAAGGGCTATAACTTTGTTACTTTAATTTTACCAGAAAAATGGTAAAGGAAAAAAACATTTCTTTTGATCAGATCTACTCACTGTTAAAATAAATGACTCAACTTCGAAGTTTAAAACCTTTCATAATATTCATGGAAGAAATGTTTTTTTCAGATTTTTTTTTAATGATGGAACCATGGCTTTGTAGCTATGATAACTTTCAATTCTCTAAATTTTTCCGCATGTCAAAGAAAACATTTATTGATTCAGCAGAAAGAAATGATGAAAAAAGAAATTAGCAAAACCGTATACAGGTGGATATCATCTAGTGAGTTTATATGGCCATATTTTAATATTCTTGTGGTATATGGCTACACAGGATACTTTGTTAAGCATAGGAACTACATTTAAAGTATCCCCAACAACCGTAATGAGTATAACTAATAAGGTGCTCCACTTTATGGTAAAACTGAAGTCAGCCTGTATCATTTTTCTCAAAAATGAAGCTGAAGTACAATAACAATATCCAATACCCGGCAAAATTCCAACTTGTCACATTTCAAATAATAACCAGAAATATAAAACTACTCTTGAGTTGGGTAAATACCACAATTTTGCGGTGATAACTATGACATATAACAGCTGATTCGTGACGTCACGGATCTTATAACCAAACTGATAACTACACTCGCTTGAACGGATTGGTAAATACCAACCCAAAATGGTAAATACCATTTCCATTTGGTTATCCGCTTGAATTTGATTATTATGTAGGTTTTTCTACATGATATTAGTTTAGCAGTAGCTTATGGACACGTTGTGAACCCGTTTTGTAGTTATACGTGTTGCCTAAACGTCATAAGGCTTCAGTTATCAATGTTTGGCTCTGATGTGATGTAAAATCTGCTTCAGAGATGGCATTACTGCTAACAGTAATTACACACAACGCGATCGCGGTGGTGAATTCTTCTCAAAGTTTTTGAGAACACAAAAAACGCAAAAAATCATAATTTATAACTTTGAACTGAATCCGTCTTCAGAAAGGACACATATAAATAATTGATCGGGCACAGCTAATAGATATAATTCATTGACAGCTTATTCAGTAATCATTTTCTCACACAGCAAATATAACTGATTTTATACACATGCAGACCAATACAGACAATCATCTAGATGCGATCTTGCTATTTAACCAACTTTCTTCTCAGAGATGAAAACTATAGACTACTCGGCTTCACAAAAGATATGGAACCAACAATGCGTGTAGTTGAGCTATACCTCCATAGATGAACCCTCACAACAATCCTAGCGAGCTTGACTGTTTGCACCCTAAACACTACCTAGTCTGCAAGATGACATTTTATAGGTTTTTTTTGACGTTTTATAGGTTTTTTACATAATACCTGTGCCGGGCCTTTAGAATGACAGGAGAGATGATCGAGAAGGAACAGTCATCCAGAAGCAATACTCTAGTCCATATGGACTGAATTAAATCAACCTAATCTAATGTTCATGACGCTTCGTCGCGAAAAATTGTGTGAATTATCCTTCTGCGTATTTTATTTTTTCTGTTGACCTCGTGAACCCAGATTTACTATGATAATTTTCAGATTCATTAATACGAATATTCAAAGCCACGGCTCGCGCTGTGACCAAAAATTAGCGACCTTCAATAAACCCAAAGTTACACTCTAACGAAACCTGAATCAAAAGTTGTTTTTAGTTCACCTAAAAATTAATCTGTGTTTCAAGTCTAAAAGCCTAGGTCTTTCCTCCTCAACTGATACACTTCTGTTCTTCTTGCTCTTCTCCTTTTTTCTTCTCTTTCACTTTCTCTTTTTCCTTGACATTGTCTGCTTTCTGGGCAACCAGGACTGACAGATTCGGCTAACGTTCATTAGACAATGACTAAAGGGCAAAAATCTTACGGACCGCCCGAACAAACAAATGACGAATACTAGTACAAAAATATAGAGTAACATGAAAAATGGTATACAAAAGATGTCTTTGGCGACAAAAAGTACGTGTGCATCCGCAAAACCAGGGCAATTCTTCATTTACAGGTAGAATCTGCGTCTGATCGCGTTGAACGAGAAAGTATCTCGGTTTGCCTTTAGTGCATTCATGTCATTCGGTGCAATCATGGATAAAATCTTCGGTACACATCCAATGCAACATCTATTCTTAACGGTGATGTAGAAGTATTCAAGCCTTAACCAAAACCTACCTTTTCAATGCAACATGTGAATGCTACCTTGTGATGTCGGTATCAATAGTTCCCCATATTTGTTTGGTTTAGTGAAACCACGTGTATTCAAAATTCTTCTTCAGTATAAGAAGAATTTTAAATACATGAGGTCTTGTCTACCTAATTCAAGTTCGTACCTCTTCTCGTGTATACAGGGTGTTTCTTAATGATATACGAACTTCGGGTGTGTATCTACATGAAAAAATAATGTTAGTTTGCTTTATAAACTATGGTTCAAAAATGTTTCCTTACAAAAACACGTGGTGTTGAAGTTTTAGGAAAAAAATGGAAATTAATTAATATTTTCAGAACCGCTTCAGATATTTCACTGATACTTAGTAGGTAGTGGAAGTTAAGAAAGCTGCATATTTTTCAATGCAAAAATAATTTTTATCTTTAACAGTGGCGTGCGTATGGGTATTGACTTCGATAATATTTAAGAAAAAAATGGTACACCAATGGTTTTTTGCCTAATAAAAAAAACTATTTTTGAATTCCCCGTTTAATTTAAAACAAATGATCTCTCGTGAATCGTTTTCTTCGATGCGCCATTTTTTGAGTAAAAAAATAAAAACCGTTGTATTGTCTAACTTAAAAAATTATTATTAATTTTATTGGAAAAATTAAACACATTAGGGGCAATGAGCAGCAACAACTGACAACATAAATATAACATTCAAACCAACGAAATGATTACAAAAATGATTGAATATGCCCCCCTTCACTCAATATGCATGCTTCCGCTCTCATTCTCATGGAATTGCCGACTCGTTGAAATATCCCTGGATTGTTTTTTATTATATCTCAAGCTGCAACTAATTTTTCTCTTAATTCCTCTACAGTGTTAATGGGACTTGTGTACACTAGTGTCTTAAGATAGCCCCACAAAAAGAAATCTAAACTGTTGAGGTCTGGGGACCTTGGTGGCCATTCTTGGGGCCCACCGCGGCCAATCCAACGATTTGGATCAAATAATTACGAACCGCTACACTGAAATGCGCTGGTGCACCAACATGCATGTACCACATATTGTTTCTTATTACTAACGGAACATCATCAAGCAGCAAAGCCAACTGTTGTTGAACGAAATTGAGGTAAGTCTGTCGGTCAAGTCGTCCCGGCAAGAAGAATGGGCCAATAAAGTGCTTGCCAATAATTCCTGCCCATACGTTTACCGAAAATTGGTGTGGGAAATGGGTTTCTATTACGGCATAGGGACTTTCTTCTGCCCACAAATGATTATTGTGGAAATTCTGAATGGCATTTCG